CCGGTCTGCGCTGCTGCTCCGGATCAGATACGGACCTTTCTGACGGACTGTCAGTCAGAGCTTGCGGACAAATATGCTGCAAAGCTGGCGCAGAGGTGCACAGTGAGTGTGACTGCTACGCGAATCTAGTGATTCGAAAACGGATCCGGCACAGAGGGAATTGCTGTCTGGGATAATACTCATATTAAATAAAATGTCATTTTAATGCCAGTGTATAATCACAATGACCATTACCATGTGTAACCAAAAAAGTGTGGTTGTCTAAAAAATGACTGAAACATTATTGTGTAAAGCATGCCTGTACCTACCACTGAGGACACTGGGGAGAAGTGTTCGGTATTTTTTCTGCATCTCCAGTAACCCCGATCCTTTACGGGGGCCCAGGAAGGGCTGACACTTCTGGCCTCAGTATTTTAAAAGTCCTGGATATGGTCCTTGTGTAAAGCAACAACAGCTTTATGTTGACAAAGGCAGGTTCAGTGAACCAAATCATCCTCCATCTCACTAAGCTAATAGACGTCAGTGTTTTTTAAATTATAAGCAATAGTGATAGCCCGAGTTTGTTTTAGATCGAAAGTGGCAAACATAGTGGGGAATAATAGTTCAACTTAAATAATATAATCAAATGTGCAGACAGCACAATAGTCGTTAGCCTGATTTCCAAAGTCAACGAGAAGGTCTCCCTGGACAAGCTTGACAATGTCAGGCTACCTGCCTCTTATTCAGTACCTGTAGGACTAAGGAGATGGTGGTAGACGGCCATCTCACTATCAAAGTGGTCCTGCTTGATTGGATGAACACCTTTACATATCTCAGTCTGTATCTCTGATGACCTCACTTGGCCCAATCATGTAAAGAATTGGATATCTAACACCAGGCTTCGGCTGTAATATCTTAAGCAGCTGAGGAGGTTCAAGGTCTCACCAGCCATTTTTGCGGTCTTGTACTCTGGAGCGTTACTTTTAATCATTAATCCATAGTCATATAATTTATTTAACTCTGTGTGTGGGCTCCAGGCCGCTAAGCACGCGTAACATATACCTAGGGCGAGAACAGATAAACTACAAGCTAGGCAGTCAAAAGCTGCGCATTTCTCTGAATGCATGTGATGGACTTTAAGTAGATGTTCCAACAGATTGCTTGTGTTTCTGTTTTCACATGGCACTTGTGGTAACGAGCATCCTCACTTCTAGTGAAGTGTTATAAATAACTCTTTTAACGTTTAGTTCTTTCCTCCATCATCACTAAATGCAGGGTCTGTGTGTTTGTGCGTGCTGCATGTTGTTGTGCATGAGACAGAGCAAGAAAGATATGAGAATGAGTGACCATTATTCAGCTATTTGTTATGGCTGTGTTCATTACTGCGAACTTTGGATGGGTGGAGTGTAGTTCATTAGATCTGTGCTTGTTGTTGTAAGGTTGGTAGAAGCTATGGTAGAAGTTAGACCGAGGATCAGACATTGTTTAGTGAATGGTGTGAACTGTGCTGCTGTAGATTGCATGGCCTGATATCCTTCAGAGACTGAACCTTGGCAAATGAAGGAGTCTGTTTCTTACAAGATAATATTTAAAAAGTAATGATTTAAAAAAGACACAGGAATAGATATTAAAATATTAATAAAATAACAGTATAAGTCGTTGAAAATAATCAGCAACTCATAAAATGAAGACGTAAAGGTGTGGGATAGTGTGATTTGCATGGAGCAAATTAGCCTGTAAACCACAGAAATCCTCGTTCAGTATATGGTCAGCCT